AGCCTTGGTAGTACAGGAGTTTAAGGCACCCTGTTATTAAGCTTATTAAGACCAGCTGCCTGCAATTACTGCAGGGTTCGAATCTCGCCAAGGCTCAAGGTTGACTCAGCCTTCCATCCTTTCTAAGGTAGATGAAATGAGGACCCAGTTTGTGGGGGCAATAAGCTGACTTTGTATAAATATACAAAAGGATGAAAGCTATTGCTGAGCACATTGTAAGCCGCCCTGAGTCTTCGGAGAAGGGTGGCATATAAATCAAATTTAAAAAAAACAAAACTCAGTAGCATGGAAGGCCGAGTCAACCTTGAGCCAGTCAGTAAGATGATCCTCGATGACTTCCTGAAAATTCTTCTCTGGAATTCTGTAAGAACATTGAAGCTTCTTTTTCATTTTGCTGCCATTAATTCATTCCACCGCCATCATCAGCCTCAATTAAGGGGGAAAGAGTCATTGGGCTCTGCAGTAAGAATGAAGTTCATTTCCATTTGGCTACTCAGATGCAAAATTTGTGATTCCTAATCTTCTTATCTTTGTTTTGACTTTGTTATGGATTGAACTATGATATCTTATAAGGTGTGAAATGTGTTTTCATTTGTCAAAGTATGCAAGTTATTCAAAAACAAAGGGATTTTTGACACTTACTGCCAAATATGGTTAATAGCAAATATTGGCTTCAAAATATCATTTATCAAAGTAAAATAGCTAGTCTCATGAAATTTGCATGTGTTCACTCTCATAGTTCAGTTTTTGTTTTGTTTTTTGGAGATCATATGAATTCAAAGTACAAATCCAGGGATTTTCTATTTTTACTTCTAGATTTTACTTCCATTTTTACTTCTATAGCACCACATCCAACAGCTGAGAACAAGTTGAGGGTCCTCTTGGACTTGAAACTCCTGCTTGAAGAGGAAGTGGTAGTTGTAGCTAAGAAAGCTTTTGTGCAGCTCCTTCTCCTATAGAAGTGTTACCACTCTAAACAAGTCACTCACATTCCTGTTACCTCACTGCTTTATTATAATAATGTGCTCTTCATGGGGCTGCCCTGAAAGATCACTCAGAAACTTCAGTTAGTCCAAATCATTAGCAGTGATGGGTGCCTCAAGACCTCACCTGGAAGAACTACACATCCCTGGTGGTTAGTAAGGCTCAACAGAGACTTCATTTCCTTAGAGTCCTGCGGAAAAATCAGGTGGAACAACAGCTGATGACTTCTTTCTATCGGTCCATGATAGAAAGTCTCCTCACATACTGTATAACAGTATGGTATGCTGGTTTAACAGCCGTGGACAGGAAGATGCTACAAAAAGTGATTAATTTGGCACAAGAAACCATTGGTTGCCCCCTAACATCACTGGATGACATCACCAGGTCTCACTGTTTCAGCAGAGTAAGGAAGATACTTAGGGATGATTCACAGCCTAGTCAGTGTCTCTTTTCACTTTTACCATCAGGCAGAAGACACAGAAGTATAGCCAGCCAAACAGGTTTTAAAAACAGCTTCTACCCATGGGCTGTCAGATTCATAAACACAATATAGCACCACAAACAGATTAATATGATTAATTTCACTGGTGCCAGTGTAGTGTGTAATATGTATATACCATAATATAAGATCATACACAAGAGTAATTTATATGTAGCACAGAATATGACGTACATATGGAAATGTATGACTAGTTTTTTTTCCTAACTACTTGTATAAGGATTATTTTTTATATTATTCATGTTGCCTTGTATTCTTGTATGGACTGCACCAGTAGAGGCTAAACCAATTTCATTGTATACATGATGTACAATGATAATAAAGGCTTTGAACTTGAACTTTGAACTTTGAACTTTTGAACCTGAAGATGCCTACGTGATACCTCTGCTGCATAAGCTGTACTGAAAGTCATTAGGCTTCCAGGTATGTTTGCAGGAGCAATTTCTTACCCCAGTCATTTTTCCCTATTGCTTACTTCATTTCCCTCTCCATCCTTTACTTCATCACTTGTTTCATTAGCTCCTTCATTGTTTGCTCTAGCATCCACTCACATCTCATTCCCTCTCCCATCCCCTCATTTTATCATTTACATCATCATGTGGTCCACTTCATTCTGTTACATCTTTTTCTTTCTCCTTTGTTCTTGCTCTCATTCTTGCTTTCACTCACCTGTCCCTCTTACTTACCATTCCCATGCTCTTGCCTTTTTTTCTTATTATCCTTCTCTCTCTATCTCCTCTTTTATTGCTCTCTCTCATTGTCTAAACAGAGCAACCTGACAAGTGATTCACTTCAGATATTTGATCATTCCTGGTGCCCAAGCCAAAATGATTCTGGACAGAAATCACCCAGCGATTGGGTGGGTGCGTGAGGGAGATACCTATAGACCCAAAAGTAGCCTATAAGAGCCAAGCAAATCCCATTCCCTGTTGCTATTGCCATGACTTCTTTCATTAGAATGCAAGCTCAAATAAAGAAAGGCTAGCCATCAGATAGACCTCCTTTCTTTACAACTAGAGAAAGGGAGTTTCCACATTTTTTTAAAGTTTAGCTTAACGTTGGACTGAAGTATTGAAGCAAGCTAGAGGAAGAAATCTTGGAAATGCATGTCCTGTTTATATGGATTTTTTCAGTTTATACATTTTAAGAACTTATAGAAGGCATATAAAGAGGTAAGGATCACACCTACTTACTCAATGCTTGTCCCTACTGATTGGTTACTTTTAAAGAGGGTGCTATATTTCATGTCTCAAGGGAGTTAATCTCTCTGATCTTCTTTGCATTACCCAACTAGGTAACATCATCAGTGTGAGTATGGTGTTTACTTTTTGTTTATATAACACAATCTTCATCATGCTAGATCGGTGTCTAGCTTTCATTCCTTGAATATAGTCGTCATTTGGTAGAAATTCTGGAGCTTCCATTTGGAATTTGGCCAGAAGAAAATGCTGGGAAACTACTATTCAGCTACAACCAATATATTAAGAACTCCTGGTATAACAATTATATTCAGCCAGAGGCCAAAATGCACAAAAAATCCTTAGTTACTTTAGAATTCTGCATTAATAATGCTCTTAGATAAATATGTAACTTTTTTACCATAGATATTCATATTTGATGCCCAATGTGATTTGAATATCTGCATCTGAATATGAAATGGGGTGTTGTTTTCAGGTATCTTCTTATTTTATTGCTATCTATGCTCTTTAAAAAAACAACAACAACAGTGTAGCTAAAGCAATAGGTGGATTCAGAAACAAGCAAATGTAAGGCAAAATAAAATTGTTAGCACAAATGAACCAGCTGATCATATGTTGTGGAGACAGCATGGTCCATGTTAATGATAGAAATCAAATATCAACATCAAAGCCAAAAGAATATAAAAGATCTTATTGGACTAAATCTCCTAAATGAAATGAATCATTTAGCTTTTACCATGATAAGATTTCCAAGGATCTCCAACCACACACTTTTCCACAAAGGATGGCTGCCATTAATTATTTGAGAGAAAAAATATTCATATATTGTCTCTTGACTAAACCTTTCCCATTTGTTTTGGGTTTTTCTTATTCGTATTTCTCTGCCTCTAGATTCACGTGAGCTTGAATTCACATTTATGGACAATGCTTACTTAAAAAAAAAAAAAAGTCGGGCCTTCAAAGGCAAAACAATTTATATGATAATATCATTAGGATTTTAAAAAAAAAACTTTGGAAGCTTAACATACCTATGTACATTAGGGTAGGTATCTAGACACACACTCTTATACCAGAAATATAAAAATGGTGCTCCAAATTGCAATTTGATAACAAAGTTCAGCAACACGGTTTTGGTGGGTTACTGGTATTGGAAAATCTAGACAATGGGCCTTGGCCATTCTTCCAAAATATAAGACCCATCCAGTGGTGAGATTGGCTTGGTGGGTGTGGCATGGCTTGGTGGGCATGGCTTGGTGGGCATGGCAGGGGAAGGATACTGTAAAATCTCCATTCCCACTCCACTCCAGGGGAAGGATACTATAAAATCTCCATTCCTTCCCCACTTCAGGGGAAGGTTACTGCAAAATCCCCATTTCCTCCCAATCAGCTGGGACTCAGGAGGCAGAGAATAGATGGGGGCAGCGCCAGTCAGAGGTGGTATTTACCGGTTCTCTGAACTACTCAAAATTTCCGCTACCGGTTCTCCAGAACTGATGAGAACCTGCTGAATACCACTTCTGGCCCCATCATTTCATAATGGCCACTATATGAATACTTTTGAGAAAGAAGGCTGGAAAGTAAAAAAAGAAAAAAGAAAGGAAGTAATAATTACATTCCATTCAGTATATGAAAATTTAAAGTAGCACTTTGTCATGTCACTGTCTTTAAAATGTGTTAAGTAATGAGCAGCTGCAAGGATACCTCTTAGAATTAAATCTTCTGTTGCAATGAAAATCTTGTCATAGTGCAATTTCAGGATGGCAAAGCCACAACCTTTGAACTAACACACCAGGGTTTTCTGACAGCTTTCTGCTGAGAAAAATTAGATTGCTTTTAAGAAAACATAAACAAAAACTCAGTTCCTATGTAAGACGCTTCTGTCTCTCCCTGATTTGCAGAAATATTTAAGTGATTCCAAATAGAGAGTGCTTAACTCTTAAACTCTTAAAAATACATTAGGATTTCCAAGCAATGATGACTCAGATTTGTCCCTGAGGTGTTCAGATATAGAATAATCTGATTTATTATGACATTAAAATTGTACATATAATTAGGCTATTCAAAAATAGTCCAAAATAGTGAAAACAATGTCATTTGTTTTCATCCTTTCCCTTATTAAATATTTCTGTTTTTACTGATCTAGTCTTGTTTTCATTACTTTAAATGTGAATTCTAAATGTGAATTGATTTAATTGTTGGAAATGCATGTTTATTTGCAGCTTCATAATATGTCATCTTAGGACAATTATCTTCCAATTAATATTAATATATCATAGTTTTGATCAGTAGTGATTTGAATAAATCCAAACAACTCAAACTCATCCAAAGTAATATTTAATTGAGGAATGTAGTTTTGGCTAGATGCAAAAGAGAATAAGATTTTTGTTTCTTTTATGTAAAACAGAAAAATCTAGTAGATAGTGCTCACATCATAAACACACATTGTTTTAAAAGCACATTACAATCAAGTAAATATTTTCTTCTTCTTTTTTTACCTCTGCTGTTTTTTTCTGCTGCTTTTTATTGTTGTGTGAATTTTAAATACAATGTTAATCATTGGAGAGCTTATCTAATTTGCCATGTAGACTATTGTAAAATGAGAGATTGACCTTCCTGGAATCATCATCAGATACGAGGCAGCTGAGACTGCAGGTGGATTGGGGGAATGGCAAACATCTCAGAAGGGACCATCCCTACTTTCCTGGACTGTAATATGAGGAGGGGGAGAGAAGTACATTAGATTTGCAACATTCTGTTAATGTAAACTTACAGTAAAGTTAAAGCTAGCATTTCTGGGTGTGCTTCTTGCCTGGACCATCTCACAAGGCTAACAGCTACATAGAATCTTTTGCCCATGTAAAACAGGTTGATCTTAGAGCTAGCGAGTGACCCCACTTCTCCCAATCAGATTCTCCCAATGGTTTAGGAAGGACTCCTGTCTGAGCCAATGCAATACCATTTTGCACCTTTCGTTAACTAGTTTCCACTGTCCCGTTTATGTGGCAGTGCAGCCTGTAGGACAAAATGAGAAGGTTCTCCCACCCAGTTCTGTGGTTGTGGCTTGATGGGCATGACATGGCTTCATGGGTGTGGCTTGGTGGGCGTGGCTTAGTGGGTGTGGCAGGGGAAGGATACTGCAAAATCTCCATTCCCACCCCACTCCAAGGGAAGGATACTGCATAATCCCCATTTCCTCCCAATTAGCTGGGACTTGGGAGGCAGAGAATAGATGGGGACGGGTCCAGTCAGAATTTTTACTACCGGTTCTCCAAACTACTCAAAATTTCCGCTACCGGTTCTCCAGAACTGGTCAAAACCTGCTGAAACCCACCTCTGGCCCCACCCTTATAAAAGACATTTGTGTCTCTTTCCTGTTTCTTTTATATGGGGCGGAGGATAAGATAGAGATAATAAAGTTCTTACTGGGTTAGATAGTCTCTATCCTGATTATACATGGTAGTAATTCTCATATTGGAAGGTTAACCTCATTTTAAAATATTTTTATGTTTCTATGTATCTTGTATCGTTACGATTTATATTGACTGTTTCCTAATATGATTTGATCGCTTATTTGTACCCTATTACTATCATTAAGTGTTATATCTTATGATTCTTGATGAACGTATCTTTTCTTTTATGTACACTGAGAGCATATGCACCAAGACAAATTCCTTGTGTGTCCAATCACACTTGGCCAATAAAAATTTTTATTCTATTCTATTCTATGTACTGGAGTTTGTGGTTGTGTAGATGGAAATTTAATTAAATCAGCTTTCATATGCAGTCTAAAGTCATACGGTCCAAATATTTTGTAGTCTTCTGATCACATTCAGGCTGAATATTCAAATGCTACAAATGTGTTGTGTGAAAAGCTGCCTGTATAAACACACATAGATGCCCACTCTTAATATCTCTGAATTCAACAGGTTTTTTGTACATTATATCTTCGGAATACTTGTAAGAGCATTTGGACAAAAATGCTTACCAGCTCCCTGGTAAGCCAGTATTACCCAGGTTCCTAAGCTATCCTCAGTCAGAAGACTGTTTGAAGAGAGTTCTGCTTAACAAAGGGGTAGGGAATGACTCGTCTTTAACTCCCAGAATTCCTGAGCCAGTCCATAAGTCATAAAGGGGGCATTGTTCCCCATCCTAAGGAGAATTATCTGTGGTTTGACCATCCTTAGCCTAAGGATTGGGCAGTGCACATATATATACATTTTTAATTCTTTCATACTCTACTTTTGAAATAGCATAGGTTATATCTCTTTTTGAGAACTATGCCGAAGCAGTGTTGCTGTGAAGTTTAATATGGTAAAGTAAGATGACTGCAGTAGTAAAATCCATAAGCATAATATTATGAAGAAGATATTGATTTTACCATTATATTTCATTCAAATCTTCCCTATATAAATTCTAAGTATCTCTTCCAACTACTTTCAATGAATTGTATAAGCGTATATTTAACCAAACTGGTGTACTGTATATTATATCTTTTCTGTTGCTTTTTCTTTTTGGTCATTAATATAAACTTATAAAGTCATGGGCATGGTGTCTCAAAATCTATGACAGAATAAAAACAGGTTCAAAGGCAGCTTAATACATTTTTCTATCTGAAACCAAGCGTACAAAAATTAGGTTCTCCATATCTGTAAGGTTGAAAAGCATAGCAGTTACTGATAGATACAAAGTTTCGATGCTGGAACGGCCTGAGAAATGAGGATCCAAGGTAGCTGTCAAAGCCTCAGGCCTCAGCTGTAGAACAGAACAATTATTTTCCCTGAGATGAAGAATTCTCAGACAAACACACTTTCAGATAAATATTGGGTAAGCTCCTCTAAAATGATATAGGAGTGAATAATGTGTTTATATTTTTAAGCAAGTCCTCATTGTTCAATATTCTGGGAAACACCATTTTATGTCCTTTGGTAACATTGCACTTGAATGAGGTACAAAGCCAGGGTACCGTATGATCTGTTGATGCCCACTGAATGTCCTCAGCTGTTCTGGATGAACAGGACGCATCATTTTTGTTTGAATCGATGCCAAACAAAATTGTGGTTCAGCTGTGTAGTACAGAATATCCAAACAATTTATTTTGAAAATACTCTATGGTTCTTCTGGAAATCAGTTTATTATCGGATGTGTTATATATCTCCTATTTATATATCTATATGTATATATGGTATCTCTCTCTCTCTCTCTATCTATCTATCTATCTATATCTTTATCTATATCATGTATCTATATCTATATCTATATCATATATCTATAACTACTGTATCTATATCTATCTATATGGGATATCTATATCTATATCTATGAGATAGATATAGATATAGATATATCCCAGATAGATAGATAGATAGATAGATAGATAGATAGATAGATAGATAGATAGATATCCCATATATATATCTCCAATATCTCCCATATGTTAAGGTATACCAAAAGAGCCCCGTGGCTAGAATACTGGCCTAGGATGCAGGAGATCCAGTTTTAAAGTCCATATAACCATAGAAGCTGACTATATAACTTAGTCCATTCACTGTTTCTCAGCCCAACCTTGACAAAGTTGTTATTGCTAGGAATTACAATGGAATTCTTGTAGGATATTCAAGCAGATTATGTCATTTTAAAAATGGTTTCCAAATTATTTAAGGTTTTTTTGGGGGGGGGTGTTATTTCTGATGACTGCCTGGCATTATGAGTACTGGCTAAGCTTTAGGTTCTCACAAAACCATAAAAGCTATATTTCTCTTTTTAAAATGCTTTCTAGTTTTTATTTGAAGCAATATTAGCTATCAGGATGTGGCCATGATCTTCCAGTGGTTTTACAGTTAACAGTATCTAAAACTACATCTTTAAATGATGACACATAAAATTAGAAGTGATTCCTATGTGATGTCAAGTCCCTGTAGTTTTTGTTGCAAAATTTTGGAAATAATTTGCTTCCTTATTAGGGCTGAGAGAGAGATTAACTAGCCCAAGCAACACAAATGGCTTTGTGCAAAAGCCAGGACTAGAACTCATATTCTCCTGGTTTCTAGCCTGTTGCTTTAATCACTATACCAAACTGGCTCTTGTTTAAGTTTTAGCTTAGATAAAGTTTCTCTTGGAGTTGAGGAGAGGGCCTTCTCTGCAAGAAGTTCAAATCCTGTACAGCTTTTTCAAGATAAACCAAAGTTGGCTCAGTGCTGATATCCATGACAAGACATAACAAGACAAGAGACAGAGATGGCTCAGTTCATGGTTTTATTGAGATAACCATGAGATCTTCATGAGAAGGTGTGTTTTCTGATTCTGGTTTGTTAAAAGAGGAATCTACAGGCATTCTGGAATTGCATTGAGAGGTTATGAAAAGTTATGCAAATCATGGTTAATTGGTTTATTTTGCTATTGGCAAGAGAAGCCAAGTGGAGTGAATAAAGGTAAGCCAACATTGTTCAAAAGTCTGTTACATGTGAATTACAGCTATTAGTTTAGGATTAAGCACTACAGAGTGTAGTCATACTTATTTCTGAGTAAACATGCATACAATTGTACTTTCCATGAGCAATGTGCAACTGAGTACAAAGAAGCACTATTATGTTAAAGAAATGTCATAATAAACTTTCAATAATGACTCTAATAAATTTTAAGAGAGTCTTAAAAAACTATTTGTTTTGCTAATGATTTCACTGAAAAATTCTAATAAGGAGCAAAAAATAATAATAATAATTGGCATTTGCCCTAATTAATATTGTTAGACTATACTAAAAAATAGAAGCATTATGAGTACTGGCAAAGCTTTAGTCTCTCACAAAACCATAAAAGCTATATTTCTCTTTTTAAAATGCTCTCTAGTTTTTATTTGAAGCAATATTAGCTATCAGGATGTGGTCATGATTTTCCAGTGGTTTTATAGTTAACAGTATCTAAAACTACACCTTTAAACGATGACACATAAAATTAGAAGTGATTCCTATGTGATGTTGCACAAAGCAAGCAAAGTTGTTGGTTTTATGAGGTTGGATGGCTTTTGCTGTAAAATATCGTTTTTATACTGCTGTATGAAATATATTTATTTTCCAAACAGTACACTCTTAAAGAGATTTGAAACATCAATCTTGTATCTGACAGCTGAACAGGGGATATTAAATGTTTTGTATAAAAGCTGAAAATAAGAATTTTCACAAAATTCCTGAATTCAGGAAACACAAAAAAAATGTTCATATTTGTTGGGAGATCAACAAAAAGAACTAATTAGAAAACTATTCATATTTTGTGCATGCTTTTTTATTTTAGATTACTTTTTATCAAAAGTTTATTTTTAAATACATTTAATGAGTGTGTGTTTGTGTGTACATACCAGTGGTGGGATTCAAATAATTTAACAACCGGTTCTCTGTCCTAATGATTTCTTCCAACAACCAGTTCACCAAACTGCTCAGAAAGTTAACAACTGGTTTTCTAATCTGTTATTTCTACCAAAGGGATGAAACACTAATAATGGAATGGATACTCATGTACCCTTATGATTGTGACAACTTCATCTTGATTATATTCTTCGGAAGAAAAGAATTATTTAGTTTGAACTTGCCACCAAACATATATGCTTCAGTGCATTGGCAACATATTTTAATACAGTTTTGATTAGCAAAACCATAACCTGTTACTGAGAAAAAAATATTGGTTTCTTTTTGAGAAGTTCTCAGTTTGTTAACATAACCCAATGAAATAGATTCCTTGTGGAAAACAAAGAATGGCTCTTTCCCTTAACCCAGGGGTCTGCAACTTTAAACACTCAAAGAATCATTTGGACCCATTTCCCACAGAAAAAAACAAACAAACACCAGGAGCCACAAAACCTGGGGGGCGTGGCCAACTCCACATCACTCACTCCCATCAAGTCACATGACCCCCCTATCCACGCCTACCCAGCCAGTCATTAGGGTAGTGAACCGGTTGTTAAAAAACACCAGGAACCACAAAACCCTTCTCTCTTTCTTTTTCTCTCTCTCTCTCCTCTCTGTATCTCTCCCCCCACTCTCTCTCTGTGTATCTATGTCTCTCTCTCCCCCTCTCCCTCTCTCCACCCCCTCTCTCTGTATCTCTCTGATTTCCAAGGCCAGGCGAGGAATGACTGGGAGGGAGGGCAAGGGGCGGGGCCAGCCAGTGATGGGACAGGGAGCCATAGCAGAGGGCCCAAAGGGCCACATGGGGCTCTGCAGCTGCGGGTTGCTGACACCCACTTTAACCTAATGAAAGATTAAAATGATATATTCAAAAACATGTACAATGCATCATTGCAAGAGTGGATTAGGATTTTATGTTATATATCTAAGCAGGCATTGACTTAATCTAGTGGTTTGTCTTTCACTCCCCCAAAAACTTCTTAAACTGTACAAGGTTATCCTGGCCTACTTGACTGACTGTGTCATAAATCCACAAAACTGTCCTGGCTTGTTTGATGGCTCATAAATCCATAGTGTTCTCTTGCTAGGGAGCACACATGAAAGCATAAGCCAGTTCATACATAGAAATTTCCTGCTGGACATCAGAAGTACAAAAAGGGCAAGGCATATAGATGACTTAGAAAATACTAAGCAGAGATCATAGAGCCCAGATAACAGTCACAGCTAAGTTGTCGAGATTCGGGTTAATGTCAGGGTTCCAAGTAACACCTCAAATGAAAGAAGGCTCTGAGGCTTGACTTTCCTCAAAGTTTCATTTTATTAGAGATATCATTTTGGCACATCTGGGAAAAGCCGAATCTGAAAGTTTCTAGGTTTTCCCCACCCAAAGGAAAGTTCAAGTCCATGCCCAACACCCACATGTCTACCACATGATCCAATCCAAGCACTGTCCCAACTGGAGATGCCTCCCAGTTCCAGCAGCCCAAATGCAGGGCAAGATGTCCTTGACTTTCTGAGAAAGAAATGTTATTATGACTATATATCACCCCTGCTCCATACAATCTCCCCTCCCAGTTTCCCACAGTAGTAAATGTGGCAGGCCTGAAGATCCAACGAAAAAGATGACTTCCAGGCCTGACATAAGTTTGAAGCATCAAGGAGGAGGTTA